TTAACCGTGTGTCCGTCTAGAAGCCTTGATGACACTTTGAAGGCCTTATTTCTGCCTCACTGTTCCCTATCAAGGCTTATTTGAATGGTTTTGGGATTCTCCAGAGTCCTGGGGCAACAATGACATCTTTTTAAAAAAGGACCCCAAACTTCAGCTCCTCACGTCAACTTTTAAAAATGCCCGGGACGCTGACTGTGGACGTTAGCTCTAGACATTAAAAACATTTGCCTTGCCTCCGTCTCCTGCAGGACCCACCTGGCCCATCAAGAGCAGCGGGGTGTGTTTTAAGGGTCAGTATTTCAAAAACCGTCGCGTTTCACTATCTGCCGTATAAAACTGTAGTCTCCTTTAAGGGCTTCCTCTTAGCCATTTACTCCTCGGTGACTAACGGGGAAATGGCACGAGGTAGCAAGATCACAAGTGGCATTAACGCAATGCAAAAATGCTGCCCAAAGCACGTTTTATATGACTGCAAATAGAAATGCTACCAAACACCTGCGGCCACCGTTAAACTCCCAGCCTCCCAGGGYAGGAGGCCGGCCTGGCGGGGGACATGGCTCCCCAACCAGGAGGCCAGGCGCAGGAGCTAACCCTGGAAGGAAGTGGGCAGGCAGGAGGGAAGAGCAGAGGGCGGCCGCACACCCCGCCTCCTGAGAGGCCGGGCCACAGTTCCCAGGTCCACCTCCTCCTAAACTCCAGGTGCCAGAACACACATGTACTTTTACTTTCTTAGGAGAAAATGTGTCATTTGGTTTCCTTCCAGTTTACGTACTCTTGCCAGCAACTAAAAACGCTTAAAGAACCAAAAAGAATTACTACCCAGAAACGGTGGTCAAAGTTCCAAACTTTGATCAATAAAACTGCTCATCTACTCACAAATTAATCTGCAGCCAGTAAAGTCACACATTTTCCAGGTTATGAGAACACCTGCACCGTGAAGCATTTATTTCACTCGTTCAAGCCATCTTCAGAAGTATATAAATATTTATAAAAGAGAACCTACTATTTTTACCCACCTATGATTTCCCCCCTAGCAAAACCTTGTGAATCCTTTCCCAGATCCGAAGCCTGCTGAAGGCAAGGTCTGCATCCTGGGTAGTTTCGTCTTCTCTTAGCACCGGTACCATGACCAGGGCACTGCGGCTGTTCTGAAATGTCTAACAGGTTTAACTTCATTAACTCAGGCCATTCTGATTCTGAATTGATGACGGGGGCCAATTTTCAATTTTCAATTTGGATCATTTGTTAAAAAATAAAAAATTATTTTTTATTTTTGCAAAGTAAATTAACAGGTGAAGTCATAGGCAATGGAGGTCACTAATTAGAGTAGGTCTCAGGAAGCTCTCTCCCCACCCCACAGTCATGCCCTCTTCATTAACAAACCACGCTGTCACCCAAGATTGGGACCAGCTCAGATCTGGTGGAGAAGGCCATGCCAAGAACCGGGTCTGTCCCCACCACCCCTCCTCCCCTGGCAACCAGGCCACGGTGACGGTGTTCGCCTGCGGGAGCTGAGGATCTCTGTCGAGTAACCACTTATAGCTTCCCTAACTTTCTCTCTTCTTTTGTTTGTATCATCAGCCTGTGAAACCAGAGAGCCTGCCAAACTGCACAGGGAAGTGTGAGCTGTGCTTAAAATACGAGCAGCAGTGTATGGGGGGATTTAGGTTCCTTCTTTCTCTTTCTCCTCTCCAAGCTATCAGCAGATCAAATCCTTTTCCCCTGTCAAGCCTTCCTCCAGGCACAAGATCTGAAATTTGCTAAAATAGGTCTCTCGGCACAGCTATAAAGGGTCTGGAGATCAGAGATGAACACTGCTCAGATGCCGGCTGAAATGCCCCGGCAAGGACGTGGCAGGTGGGAGAGATTTAAATGCCACGGTTCCTCCTCCAGTGAGTCGCCAGTCCACCTACGTATCTGCATAAAGAGAGCACAGGCCCTGTGGCCGAGGCGAGCGATTTTTATGGAAGCGATGTTTATGGAAGGCTGGCCAAGAAACAAGCCTCTCTAAATGTTGGGATGCCCCTACCAGTGAGCTGAGGAGATGTCTAGCAGTAGTCCAGGGGACACACACACACACACACACACACCGGTGACCCCACCCTCCCTCCTGCCCCTGCCCATTCTTAAAGTGGATCTGAGTTCTCTGCGGGTCCACTCCACCACTTCGGGGTTCAGGAAGGACTGCAGATGACCTTCTCTAGTAAGACCAGCATTCAAGGCCTCCCCTCTTGCTGGCTGTACACGACTGGGCCCTTGCAGCCGGTGACAGGGTTGGACGCTGGCCTTGCTGAGGACCCTGTAGCTCTCCGCCCCACACTCTGCTCTGTGGATGGCAAGCAGCAGCCCCCTCCCCCCGGAGGAAATCCCCCCAAACGGACTTCACATATTTCGCCCCTAGAGGAACTTCATCCGTCTTGGAAAAGAAGTTACCTTAAAATGCCATATGTTTTTAAAAAGCAAGTCAGAGGGAATATAATTCTAGTATAAAAAAAATCAGAAATGCTCTCTGATACGGGGAGTGATATGATCAGCCAGACTGTGTGTTTCTCTTCAATCTCTAAGCGGAGCTCTCCAACGTGGAAGACGTTCCCCCCAATAGTATATTGTCATTTTCCCAATGCACCTGAGGTCTGCTAAACTCCACAGGACTCGTGGTATTTCTAAGGCCAGGAGAGCTCCCAAGAGGAAGGCAAAAGAATGGACGGTCATTTGAATCACTGAGTGACAGGCTGGGCCGGCTCCGTGTATACATTAATAAATTAGAATTTTAATTGCGCCTCTGTCTGCAGGAGATGGCCCGGTGCTTGAATATGTACCAACAATTGGCTATGTTATGGAATCCGCAGCTGCCCTCCACTGCTGACCTCTGAAACACAATTCCCAGTCTGACGACGGAAACTGTTCAGTTTGATCCTTTCAACTTATTTGAATCCTGACAAATAAGCTCACAGCCGAAAGGTCAACACAGTCCTATTTCATCCCCCGGAGCTCTTCTTAAGACATGTGCACAACAAAGCACGTCCCCCAGCACCTGACACGGCCCCACGGCACCGCACCTCATTAAAACGTCCCCTGCACTCCCACGTGCGGGCAGGCTGCGGGCTGCCAAAGGTTCACTAAACAAGGCCTTCAGGAGGCTTCCGCCAACAGAGAAGCTGCGGCCGGACTCCTCCAGGAAGGTGTCCCCTCGCCCTGCACCTTCCTGGAGAGCACAGTTGTCCCAGCGGAAAGAGGACTAGAACCTGCAGCCCCAGGTCGAGTGTTTGGAAATGGACCTCAGCTCATCCTGACCCACTAAAGTTCAACCCAAGCAAGAATTCAGGCGATCTCATGATCCAATGAACCGGCACCAAGGTAAGCCCACCTGCTACCTCTTGTGCGTTGTGTTCCGACACCTCCAGGGTGAGAAACCTCCCATTTGGGGGTCCTTACCCTCAGCTCTGAATGCACTGTCCAACACCTGGTTCCTGCCAGGGCCCTATCCTGAGCATGGACACAAGCATCCCAAGTCAGGTTTCTTTGAAATTTTTGTTATAATTCTCACCTCCAACTCAAAAATCTAGATCAGACTTTGATGAGCTCTCTGCTTCCACTCCATTAACCCCTTGGCCTCAATACACTGAACTGAGAAGTTGCTAAAGTAATTTCTGTGTGTGTGTGCTACTAGGGATAAACCCAGGGGTGCTCTACCACCAAGCTGCACACCTACCCCTAGCCCTTTTTATATTTTTTATTTTGAGACAGGCTCTCACCAAGTTGCCCAGGATAGCCTCAAGCTTACGATCCTCCTGCCGCAGCCTCCCAAAGCAGGCGTACGCCACTGGTGCCTGGTTAAAACAATCATTCTTGTCACCTTTGCATAAAATTGCTTTCCACCTTAAACAGATGATTCAGAAGCCCTCTAAAGACATCCAGAGAGGAGGGTGTGTCCATGCCATTACCAGGCACCACGCCCMGGTGAGGGTGCTGGACACTGCTGACATTTTGGGCCAATAAATAATCTTGCACTCTGTGGGGGTGGGCACCCTGGGCAATGCAGACCATTAAGCAGGAGCCCTGGCCTGTACCGACAAGAGGGGCCTCCAGGAAAAGCCACCTTTTTATACAATGGGACACAAGGCCAACGAGTGGAGAAGGAGGTGGAGGTTTCTGGAAGAACACCTGCAAGGCTGCCCCGTCCTGGGTGTGGATTCCCCGGAAAGAAACTCAGCACATCACACACCTGCACAGCACCTCCGCTGCAGCGCCAGCCAGACGCCCATCCACACCTGAGTGGGCAAAGGCGGGGTGTGTGCGTGTATGGTGTGTTCACACCTGTGCACATGTGCGTGAAAGCACGGAATCCTGTCACAGCAGCTAAACGGATGGAACCAGGCACAGAGACAAATGTTGTTTTTCATTTGTGGAAAGAACAACAAAACAAGTTGAGCTGATAGTGGACGGTGATTACTGGAGCCTGGGGAGGGCTGGGGGTCATAAAAGAAGGGCGCTTGGACTGGGTCAGTATGTGCTCCGTTCTTACATGAATGCACTGAACCCATCAATATGGGCAATCCACGCATGTTAGTAAAACCACTGCTAGATGACCCCCACTGGCCACAGGRGGTCAAAACCATGTCCCTCTGAGTACTACTGTGCTGGACATAAGGGGAAGCACCCCCTTCCTAGTCTAGATGACCACGGCAGGTCTGTGCACTGTCAGCTGGTACTGCCACCCGTGCTCTGTCCTTAGCAGCCCGACACCTGCAAATGCCCACCCTCCCGGCGCGTGGCCAGGGTAGCTCTTCTTGCTACCAAGAACGACCCTTTTGCTCAACTCGACACTTTCCATGAGAGGTCACGCTCTGCTGGCGCACTGAGAGCTCACCGTCCGCAGATGCTCTTGTTTCACAATCAGCAATTCTCAACACGGTTCCCTTCTGAATTGCCCAGGAGCTGCCCAGAGGGTGTGGCTGCCCAGAGGGTGCTGTGCCCATGAGATAAAGCAGGGGACTTACCTGAAGGGCCGGCTGCTTGTCATTCCTCTTGGGAGACTTCAGTCCACTAACTTGCTGCTGCTGCTGTTGCTGCTGCTGCAGGAGCTGTCTGGCCACTTGTAGAGCCTGCGAGGAGGGGACAAGAACACACTGGTCAGGACACAGGACCGGGACTGCCGCACAGAAGGGCTCTGGAAGCCTACTCCAGGGCTGGCCCTGCCTTTCCCGTTTCCAGGCACAGGAAATGGCAGGCGACACCCCCCTCCYGTCTGTGCTGAGAACTTTCCAGAGTCTGTTTCCAGGTCCTTGCACTGGGCCAGTTTCACCCACAGCCCCCAAGCCCAGTGACCCAGTAAGCGGACGCTTTATCCCACCCCAAACCTGCCACAACGCTTGAAGTAGGGGTGGCCAGCTCCCGAGGAACCAAGCAGGGACGGCCAGCAGGGAGCTGGGCAAAGATGGAAAGTTAGGAGAGCTACTGGGGGCACGTGGGCGGCACCACCGTCTTCCCAGGTTCTCTGGTGGAACTTGGGGACACTTGGGAACACAGGTTGAAAGTGACACATTCACTCCATGAGGCCAGAAGGAAGACGGGAGTGGGATGACAGGAAAAGCATGTCCCGTGGATGGGGTGGTGGGGACTGGCCAGGCATTCCTAGGACTATCTCACTGGATGTCAGGAGAGAAAACCTGCGAATTCACCTCCAGCCACCTCAAACCCACGTCTACGTCACCCTCTCCAGGGTACAACAGGGGACAGTTTCAATTTAGAGGCAGAGTCAGGGAGGTGGCCTGAGCACAGGGTCTGTGAGGGGAGCCACTTAGGGCAAGCTCAAGTGAGATAAGTGTCATTACCCAACCATCACAAAGATATTTGCTGTCAAAGACTTAAGAACAGCTGGCAGCGGGATCAGCGCACAAAACCGAGGTGAGCAGGCGCTGTGCTGCCGATTCCCACCCGAAGGCGGCTTCTCCGGCGGAGCCAGCTGGGAACCCAGAATGGAGTCCTGGAGGGGACGTCCCAACTGAGGAGTGCGGACAGAAAACAGGGTCCCCAGAGGGTCCCATCAGAGCCACTTCTCCCCGGCCATGACTCTTCGGTTCCCCTGGAAGAGGCACTTCTAGAGCCGGCCACGGCCTGAACAAGGTGTGGCCAGGCTCCCCAGTGAGCACAGAGCACTTCCAAGGGAAGCAGGCTCCTCCAAGAAGAGGAGCCACTTCACGGTGATGAGAACCACGCGTCCAGGTCTAGGAAGTTGAGTGGTCAAGACCACGTCTCGGAGGGTTAGGTGGCGGGGACTCTTGCACACTGGGCACAGGAAACAGGGTGGCCCAGGGCAACTGTCCTCAGGAGCAGGTGCTGAGGAAGGCTGAACCTTCACGAGTTCTTTCAAGAAGACGTGTTCATGACGGGCACAGTGGCGCACACCTAGAATCCCAGCAATTGGGAGGCTGAGGCAGAAGGATTACAAGTTTAAGGCCAGCCTCAGCAACTCAGTGAGACCCTGTCTCAAAATAAAAAATCAAGGGGGCTGGGGATGTGGCTCAGTGGTTAAGGCATCTAGGTTCAATTTCTGGTACCCCTCCCCCCAAAAAAAAGACACACTAACCCAGGCTCCTCGTGGCACAAGTGTATTGAGCCTCTTAAAGGCACTGTGTAAGGCTGAGGGCAGCCTCTGTATCTCAGAGGTGCAAAGGGAGGGGTAGAAACAGAGCCCAGAAACGCACGATAAGAGCCTGAGACGGTGGGGGAGAAGTGCCTGCAGGCCCACGCCTGCCCGCACACTGCACTACCCCGGCAGCCCACCAGCTGCAGGCCCAGGCACCGGTGAGCAGGCCTGCCTGTGAGGGCCACAGGGACTCCAAGATGCCTGGGCCCCAGCCCGCCGTCTGGGAGGAAGCTCCACCACGGCCGGACCCCGGGTTCCCCGTCTCCTTGGAGACGCTCAGTACACGCGTAGGTGTAAAGTGGGCAGCGTGAAGATTTCATTTATATCCCCTGTGCAAGGTGCCTGCGGGAGCAGAGCCTCTCCTACACGCGTGTCCCTTGGACGCCTTCACGCGGGCTTTGGGGCTTCTTAGGCAGGAAGGGAACTGCTCGGTRTCTTAAGTGCTACCATCAGAGTCCCCGCGCTAAGAGACTCAGCGGCAGAAAAGGCTCCAGCTGCAGCTGGGAAGGCAGACGGTGGGCGTGGAGCTGGCGGGAGAGGTGGACAGAGGAACGCTGGGGGGRAGATGGGCCATGCGGGGCCACCAGCAGGGAGAGCAGTACAGGACACCCTGCCCCCCTGGTGGACACCACCTGCCCCCTCTCACCCGATCCTGGAGAACAGGTGCTCGGCTTTTAAGTAACAAGCCTCACGGTAGCCATACCCAGCCATCAGCACGCGGCTGGTGTCTTTAAGGAAAACGTCCACACACGCTGTGCTCGTGTAAGCACGTGCTCAGAAGGAAATGTTGGGGTCATCTGAACCAGTGTTTACCAAGCTGGCCACATGGTGACTGTGCGTGTCACATGAGGTGCTGGAATCCTCAGGCTTATTTACTGGTTGGAGGGAAAATCAGAATCACTTATGGATGCCGGGTGTCTTCCAGTCCCCTCCCAGGGTCCAGGAACTTACAGCCACCTATCACAAGCCCCAGCTCCTACAGGTGGTTTCACACACAGCCCAGCTGAGGAGCAGAGCCAAGCCCAGGCGCAGGGAGGGAAAGTGTTGAGGAACTGGAGTGGACGCGAGGGAGGGTCCAGCCACCCCGCTGGAAAGAGTGAGCGGCACCAGATGGAGATTGCAAACCGGCTGCCAGGGCTCCACGCATCCAACATGCATCCAACATGCAGCCAGATGAAGACCTTCAAAATGTGGCCCCGGGAGACATCGCTAGCACAGGGATGCATCAGAATCCTCACAGGTCACCCGCAGAGATTCCCGGACCCCGAGAGGGGCTCGTTACCAAAGTCGGAGCAAAGTACAATAGTAATGAACCCCCCAAATAAAAACCAACATAGACATCACCCAGGCCCCAACAAGAGGTTTTAAAATCCTATCGATTGGAACATACAACCTGCTATGAAGTCACTGCTAAAGGGAGAGCACTAGTCTTCTGTACAAGGTAAACTAGGATGATCTAGATTTAAATGGAAAGGGATACTCGGAGTTCCGGACTCAGGGGTTAGGTGGAGATCCACAGGCAGGAAACCACGAGGCTCGCAGCAGCTTCACTGCAGGTGGCATCCCCGGGGCGATGCTCCTGGCTTGGTGCCCTTCCCTGACACCACCCCTCGACAGCCATGTCCATCCACACACGTGTCCACGCAGACCCACGTCCTTCCACCTCGGACTCCASTGCCCCGCCCCAGAGAGCACTGGATCCCAGCAGAACCGGGCCGTGGCCTGGGACTGCTCTTCCCCACGGTGCGGTGCCTCCATCACGGCCGGAAAGAGGAGTCCCAGGGTGCAGTGTTGAAGAGGAAACGGGACACTCGGTACAGGGTGATAAGCCTGTGGGTCTGGTTTTGTGCATGTGAGAAGAGGGGGAGAGAGAGGAGGAAGAGAAAGGAGGAGGAGGAGGAAGGAAGGAGGGAAGGGGAGCAGCAGAGGGGGGCACGCAGGGGGATGTGAATGTAGGAAGAGACCCTCTCCCCAGCAGAAAGCGTCACCTCTGACTCCAGCTGCACACCCACAGCTGAGACAGGCCCAGGCCAGCTCTGGTGCCTCTTCCTGGTGAGATGAACCAATGCTCGGTGCAAGATGGACCTGACAAGCACCTGGCCCAGGGTAAGCTGCTCAGCCCTGGAGCCCTGGACACCAGTTACAGTGGAGAGGGGCTCCAGGGTGTCACAGAGCAGGGTGACGACAAAACCCCACCCAAGAGCTGGCCGAGCATGTTCACATCCCTGTTCCTTCCACCAGCTAGACTAATCTGTGAGCTAGCAGACCCAGGGACCCAGGGGTGGCAGGCAATGCCGCACTGCACCCCGGCTGGCCCTGTCCCCACCCATGACTGATCAGATCATCCCCCGGGGTCAGCAGGCTTCRCCACGGCTGCCTCTGGGAATTCAGGGAGCCTGTGAGGTCTGGCAGCTCGTGCCCACCTCCTGGGACCCTGGGCACTCGGGGGACACGTTCCATTCCTCCGGCTCCATCAGGACGGCTCCCCTCTCTGCTACGTCGCTCCCCCCAAGGTAAATAAGGGCCACCTGTGCTGCACACACTGTTCGGGTAGCACATTTACCACTTTTGAGCTATTCATGTCAAGTTCATGGCGGGTGCTTATATTTCAGGCCCAGGTAGCTCTACGTTTAGCACGTTTACCAAGGTGGCTGAGGCTCAGAAAAAGATCTCCCACCCCTGAAGAAACACTGGCAAGTTGACATAACACATGGGGCACTCCCACACTCCCAGGYGCACACAGCCAGCCCGAGGAGGAAGACACCTTCATCAAGGATTTTGCTGGAAGAGACCCTCTTCCTAGCGGGAAGCATCACCTCTGGTGACAGGTCTGAGATGTGCCTTGACACATCTTTGGAATGTCTTTGGAAAACCACTAACTGGGACGTTGTCTATCACGGGTCAGCCAACGACAGCCCATAGACCCCACGGGGCCCCGGCCTGCATGGTGCAGCTGGGAGGAGACACTGTGTTCACTTATTTAAATGCTTGGGAAGGGGTCAGAAGATGATTTGGTGACCTGTGAAAATCACTTGGAATTTAAATTTCAGTAGCCACAAATAAAGTTTTCTTAGAATGCAGGCGAGGTCACTTAGGTCTGGCCTGCAGAGTGCTCTCTACAAAGACCGCAGGGCCCTCACGCCTGAGATACTCCCCAGGCACCAACACAGGGAGAGCCTGCCAGCCCTGGCTAGGCTTCTCTACTCTGGAGGTGCCAGATTCACTGGGCAGAATTTTATTTTATTAGAGAGATATAGATATATATATATATATATATATATATATATATATATATATATACATCTGTGTATAATTGTACATGTATATACATAACATATAAATGTATCTACATGTATATATAAGTATGTATTTATATAAATATACATATTTATCTATCTAACTATATAAATATGTATAAATATATCTATATAAATATGTATAAATATATATCTATAT